GCTCGGCAGTATAGCTGCCTCCCTCCTCCCCCCTTCCTAACCGCGGTTCAGTAGCGGGGACTCTAACTGCACTTTTTTCCCTAGGGAGTTTGCATCGACTTTCACCTGCAAGCCAAGGACCCCCGACACTCCAGAGACCCTCGAGCTGAACTCGCCCAAGGCAAAGGCATCAGCCCTGACCCCCCAGTTCTCCTCGTGTGGCCCCCAGAAGGCCAGCCGCCCTGGCTCCACGGCTTCCTCCTCAAGGGGCCTGCACAGTAAGTCAGCCTGGGCCCTGGCCAGTAGCTCAGAGTGACCAACCCCCATGCGGGGTTAACCTGGCCTGTCCTGGCGAAGGAGGCTGGCCCTGGAACGAGGCTTATGTTGTGCTGGGAGACTCCCACGCAGGCCTCAGCCCAACAGCTGTGTCCCAGTGGGGGACACAGTCAAATAGAAGCAGGTGAGGGGCTGAGGTTGTGACTCAGTGGCAGAGCACTTGCCTCTCAGATGTAAGTCACCGGGTTTGATCCTCAGCACCACATAAAAATAAATAAACAAAATAAAGATGTTGTGTCCATGTAGAACTAAAAAAAAAATTTAAATAGAAGCAGGTGACTCCTCACAAGCCAGGTAGCAGGGCCACCAGGAGGGCCAGTTGTGGGTGGGTCCACAGGTCCCCACTGTGTCCTGGGGCCTACCTTGCTGCCCTTTGCTCCCTGTCAGGACGACCCTCCCAGCCTCAACCAGTTGACTCCCCACCCTACCGCCTCTGCACCCCAACTAAACTGGACCTTTTCAGAGGAAAATGAAGAACAAAACATAGAAGCCCAAACAGCCTGAAATAAGCCACACTCAGAGACAGGCGCTTCCGTGCCTGCCCCCAGCCCTCCCTGGCCAGACCTGGGCATTGTGGCCACCTGAGGACCTGCAGGCTGCAAGGCCACGGGCCCCTGTTCCTGGGGGAGACTCGGCGAAGCCTCAGTTCAGGCCAGGCTACCTCCCCCCAGCCCCAAGGGCAGCTGCAGGAGACCCAGGGAGAGCTCCGCTAGAGGACAGTGGTCAGGCCTCTGACCCTGCCAGTTTCCAGGCCACACCAGGTCAGAAGAGCGCGGGTGATAACATCACATCAGTAGCACCCCAGCAGCTGATGGCTGCCCTGGCCACACACCCAGATGCCTCTCGCAGCCTGAGCCGTGTGCACAGCTCTCGGGAAGTGGACCCAGCAGAACTCACGGCAGCCCAACCGGGCAGCCCCACCAGGCGGCCTGCTTCCTGTGGGGGGAGGCCGTGGCCAAGCAAGTCGTGCCCTGGCCAGGAGTCGGGACCCGGGAGGGAAAGTTCTCATTCTGTTTGACATGAGCGGGTTGAAAGAGGGATTGTGTGGCACAGAGGGGTTCTGTGCAGGCATCACTTGGCGCTGGCATCTTGCTCTGGCCCTTCTTCCCCAGGCAGCCAGTCCTACAGGAAGTGAGGATGCTTCTCTCCCTGGGTGTCACTGTCCCGTTGCCTGAGGACCAGCCAGCTTCCCGTTCTCTGCCAGCCAGCAGCTGCAGGTGACAGATGTGAAGAGACAGTTGACAACGAGACACTGAACGACTGGGGAGCTGGGGAGGGACCTGCCCGCCAGGCCGGCCAGGAGTCCGGTCGTGACTGCCCACCATCTGGGCCCTTCTCATCTAGGAGAGCCACATGGGGAGGGCTGGGGAGCCTACTACTGCCCTCCCGGCAAGGGGACATTTCCTGGTCACCTTCATACTCACAGGAGGAGAGCCGTGGCCTTTGCCCTTGGGAGACCTTGGGCCCAGGTCCAGCCAGCATCCCCAGCTCCCCAGCACCAGCTGGGCAGAATTCGAGACCAAACCTGGGAGCCCTGCCATCTCCCTGGCTCCCGAGGAGATGCTGAGCCCACGAAAGCTCAGCCAGCCAGAGGGACTCTGCAGACTGCTGACCAGGGCTGCCCTGTGGAAGCCACTGTCCTCACTGGGACCAGCTGCGGAGGTCCTCATCCTAAGGCACCTCATTCTCAAGCCAGTGTCAGCCCCAGCAGCAGCCTGGGGACTCTGTTTGGGTCTTCAACTGAGATACAGAATGTGGAATGCTCCGGCAGCTTCAGAGCAGCCCTCTGCTCCTACCCGGGTTCTTGGTTTTTTGGTTTTTATTTTATTTTTTGTGGTACTAGGGATTGAACTCAGGGGCGCGCCACCACTGAGCTATATCCCCAGCCCAGCCCTTTTTATCTATTTATTTTCATTTCGTTTCATTTCTTTGAGGAAGGGTCTTGCTAAGTTGCCCGGGCTGGCCTCCGCCTTGCAGTCCACCTGCCTTCCCCTCCTGAGTCACAGATGACAGGCGTGTGACACTGCACCTGGCTGCACACAGTTTTTAAAAGCTTTAGAAAACCGACCAGTTTAATGCCCCATGTTTCCCTCCCTGTATTAAGATCATGAATAAGGCCGGGCATGTGGCACACACCTGTAATCCCAGCAGCTTAGGAGGCTGAGGCAGGAGGATCACAATGAGAATAAATAAATGAAAGGACTGGGGACACAGCTCAGTAGTAAAGCACCCCTGAGTTCAATTCCCAGCCCAAAAAAAAAAAAAGATTTTAAAAAGACCAGAACATACCACCTCCACCAGCAAAATGACCAGTGACCACTGTTGTTGTTGAGGGTAAATCAGGCCCAAGTCTTAGGACAGAGGAGGGACATTCACCCTCAGAGCCAGCACAGCACAGTACCCTGGGTGTTACCCACACTGTAAAATCATGAAACTGATCAGGTTTTAGAAGGCAGTGGGGAGGGAAAGCAAGTTAGTGTCCAGGCCATGTCCCAGGTGTCTCCTGCCTTCAGTGGAGACATCTCAGGGGACCCACAGGTTGGAAATAAAGGACCATCCCTGTGTTTTTCAGTGGCCTGTGACTCCTTAGGAGCAGGGAGAAGCCAGCAGAAGTCCCTTGAGCAAGAAAGAACCAGGTTCCCCGTGACAGTCCCGTAAGCCCATCTGGGGCCGGGACCCTGGAACTCTCGGGCATTCTTGGCTGCGGCTCGGGCAGGCACCTTAGAACTCTGGTGCGCACCGCCCAGCACCGCATCTCAGCTCTCTGGAAGTGCGTGCGTCCTCCTGCACTCTGGGGGAGGGAGGCTGTGGAGCCCGGGGCCTCAGGTGCCCTCTGAACCCCTGGCTCGGCCTGCAGATGCCTGGACTACAATCAGGTGCTGGTCTCCAGGGTTGAGAAGCGGGCAGGGGGAGCAGAGGCCCGGAAGGGAATCACTCCGTGGTCACAGATAAACAGCAGCAAGGGTGCTCCCCGTGCCCACCACTCCACTCCCCTGGGATTCCTCAGGCGCCGCCTGGCACGGCCTTTCCCCGCCTGGTGTGGGAGCCGCAGACACCCAGGGGCGTGTCTTTCAGCCGTGTCTCCCCGGGCTGAGCCAGCTGTCTCTCCCTCGCCTACAGATGAGCAGAAATCTCACTGGCAAATGTCTGGTCATTGGGGAAGAAGAAAAGCTAGTCTTTTAAAGAGAAAGGAGTAGAGCCACTGGGCCTCTCACCGCGGCCTGGGGGCCACACCCGGGCACACTCTGCCTTCCAAGGCTGCGGGCTGGAAATGTGCTTTTTAAAATACCGAGGACCTGTTCATAAATAGTTCAGCTATCTGCTGGCTCCACAGAGTTAGCTGAGCTTGGACATGAACCCAATCTACAGGGGAAAATACCAAATACACAAATAAGCCGAGAGTTCTTTAAAGATCACCTCGAGAGCAATCACATGACTCCTAAGATTTGCCCATGAGACCTACCGAGGGAAGCCATGGGAAGAATCTTAGAACCTCTAATAACTGTGGGCCCCTCTGGCCCTGGAAGCTAAGCCCAGCTCTCTGGTTGCCCCGTACTCCTCCCCTTCCTCCTCTATTCTTGCTTCTCCTCTTCCTCCTCCCTCCTTTTTGCAGCACTGGGGATTGAACCCAGGTCCTGCCTGGCATGTGCTAGGCAAGCGTTCTACCATCTCGTTTCCTCTCCAACCCTTTTTGATTTTATTTTAAAGGTCTTGCTGAGTTGCCCAGGCTGGCCTCGAGCTTGTGATCCTCCTGCATCAACCTCCTGAGTCGCTGGGATCATGGGCATGTGCCACTGTACCCAGCCCAATTTTTTCTTTCTTTTTTTCCCCCAATTTTTTCCTGAGAAGCACTTGATCTCATTTGCTTCATTCAGAGTGTGGTATAACTGCCTGACAAGTGCTCAAATCAGGATAGGGTAGAAAATAGTAGGAAGAGTTTCTGCAAGCCAGTCAGATACCTGGGGTCTGACAGCAGGTAAGGAAGGACCCAGCCCAGATCGGAGGAGCTAAATCCAGGCATGGTGGTGCGCACCTGCAACCCCAGCTACCAGGAAGGCAGGGGTAGAATTGCAAGTTCCAGGTCATCGTGGGAAACTTAGCAAGGTGCTGTCTCCAAAAAATTTTAGAAAAGGGCTGGAAGTGTAACTCAGTAGTCGTGCACTTGCCTGACCTACATAGGCCCTGGGTTCAAATTTTTAAAAATCAAAACCAAATGCAAAAAATGATAAAATATCAAAGTTTTTTTTAATAAAAAACAAGGCTCACCCTGTACTTGTATAACCCTATTTGGCTTACCTAACCCTAATCCTGGACCTCAAACCAATAATTTTTTACAAAAACCAATATTTTTTACAAAAATATGCAGCTGTACATGGACCATTATGTTGATTTGATTTTTAAAATATTGTATTAAAGTATTATTTACTTTGATTAATGAGTTTGGTCTGCTCCCCTTAAATCAGGCTCAGAGAATGCCTCGCCCCTCACCCTCACCCTAGTGCAGGATCGGGGATCCTCCTGGACCCTCCCAGTCCCCGGAAGCGCAGCCTGTGGCTGGGGGCTGGGCCCGTTTGCCTGACTGTCCTCCTTTCCCCTTGAGGGGCTCAGGGGCTCGTAGTGAGATGTGGTTGGAGCGATGCTGTGGGTCTTTGCACCTAACAAACCACCTCTGAAACTTAGTGGCTCAAAACAGTTTTATTTAGTTTTCATTAGTTTTATGAGTATGCGGTGAGCCATGGTTGGGCTCGTTTCTTCTGCTGGATCTGCCTGGACTCAGTTGTGCCTCTGGTCGGAGGACAGTCAGGGTCGTACCCGTGTCTGGTAGTGGCCATTGATTCGGGTCTCCTCCCGTGGGGCTTCACCCCCTACATGGTAGTTCTTCTCAAGTCTCACTGACATCACGCATGCTGTCTTCCCGGGGGCCCTCTCATCACACAGCCAGGGCCTGTGTGGAAAGACATGGACATGGGACAGCTGGAGAGACCAAGGGCTCACTGGGACACCTGCGGCACAGAGGGGTCCAGAACTCACCTCACTCGCTGCCGCGGCCTCCCCATACTAACTCAGCTGAGCAGCTCCGTCCTCTGGGGCACTCTGTGTTCCGAGGTGGAGACACAGTCGCACTGGCCCGAGCACAAACCCTGCTGGAAGCGACGGGTGGACTTCCAGGAGGAAGCAGCACCACTGGGAAAAGTCAGGCAGAGAGACCAACAGATCCAGAGCCACCTCCACGGGTGTCGGGAGAGACTGGGACAGAACCGGGGGCGAGGAAGAGGGGCAGGTGCGGGGAAAGGAGCGCATGGAGGGCCGTCCCGGGCTCACGCTGTGGAGGAGGGGGCTGCCCGAGGCCACTTTTCCTTAGAGCCTGGCCACAGGTCAGCCTGGCACGGAGCAGGCCAAGGACGTGAGCTGGAGGCCCAGGCTCTGAGACAGTGGTCCTAGGGAAGGGAGCGGAGGCGGCCTGACCGCATGAGCTCTGGCAGGGGGCGGCAGCAAAGGCCGCAGCCCACCAGGCCTCCGGCGGCTCCCGGGTGGGAGCAGTGGTGTCTGGGGCCAGCGCGAGAACTGCTGTCAGGCCACTTCTCAGAGGAGCCCTGTGAGCTGGTTGCAAATACAGCCATGAGCAGAAGCTAAATTGTGAGGCCTATGATTCAGTGAGTTCTGTTAAAAACAAAGAATGAATATCCCAGGCCTGTCCCTTTACACTTACTTGGCGACATTCACTACTGCCTGTCCTGGAGGTGGCTGCACGTATTGCGTCATTATGGTGGAAATACTCCGTGTTCAGTGACATCATCCTGGTCACTTGAAACTGGCCATGGTGGGCACATTTACACCATAGGAATGGGCAGGCATCACAGAGCAGAGCCTCCACCCCCCAGAGACCACACCCAGGCGGAACTGGTACAAGATGGTGCGGCCCGAGGCATAGTGTGGGTGGACCAGGGGTCCTGTCGGGGGAGATTGGAAGAGCAGGGCAACGTGTGACCCTTAGGATGGCAAAACCAAGGGTGTGTGTGCAGTGGCCTGGTGGCGGCTGCTCCAGGGGGCTCCACCCACATCTCTCACCTGTCCACAGGTGGCCCAGGCTCCCACGCCAGCTCACTCAGGCCTCACCTTCAGGAGCCAGCCTGCAACCGTTCTCCCAGCTGTGCGATAGCTGAGGGTTTCCTCCCGGTGACTTAGGTGTTCCTTGGACCCCGTCCTGCTGGCACGCTGCCACGCTCAGGCCTCCACTGTCCCTGAGTGCCTCACAGAAGCACACCCACTTGAGGCCCCAGGGAGTGGAGCCGCTCCGGCTGCCGGGCTCAGTGATGAGTCACCACTTCCTGCAAGTGAGGAGGCTTCACTGGGTATCGATGTGGACCCCTGGAACTCGACTCTGGTCCCCAACCGGGGGCAAGGGGCACTGACCAGGGCTGAAAAGGGAGATAAGTGGGGGTGCACATTCAGACTAGCAGGTCTCTGAGCAGCACCCAGGCCGGACCTGAACTCAGACAGTGGCATCTTCATGGGAGACGCAGAGGCAGAGGGGCCCAGAGGAGCAGGGCTGAGCCCCGGGGCCTACAGTGAAAAGACAGATGCCGGGGAAAAGTGCTGGATCCAGAGGCAAGAGGAGAGGAGGCCAAGCCACCAGGGTGTGAGGTCAGGAACCGCCAGCACCATTCCCTGGCTAAACAGGAGCAGCATGGTCCCAGGGCCCATTGGGAGGCCCGCTGACTGTGGGGCATGAGGCTAGACTCAAGGTCTGGCATTGGACACCCTCTGGAACCTACGCTGGGATCCCTGCCCATCTGGGGCTGTTTAGCCAACAGCATGCACACCCAGGGAGCCAGCTGCAGGCCTGAGCACCGTGGGCCAGGCACGTATTGGCCCTGGGCAGAGCCGGCCAAGGCCAAGGAGCGTGGCTCGTGGGCTCTGTGATCTGCCTGCTGCCGGAGCTCAGGCTGATGTGGGACAGGCCCTGGAGGGAGTGTCGGCGCCACTGGGAAGCCCTAGCAGCAAGCAGCAGGAGCTTCTGTGGGACCCCAGGAGAGCCCTGGAGTAGGGGATTAGAGCACATTAGCTCTCCCGGGCAGGGGACTCACGGGCAGGCAGTCCCGTGGCAGGGAAGGAGGCGCAGCTGGGCAGGGCAGACCTTTGAGCAGCCAGGCCAGACTGGAGCTCAGGCGAGGGGTGTTCAGGGTGGCCTGAAGAGCAGGAAGAGGGAGTGGCCTTCCACACAGGGCTTCAAGGGGAAGCGAATTCTAAGTAAGACCTGGAACTATAACCAGAAAGGGTGGGGCAGGCCTGACCAGGCAGGGCAGGGAGCCAGGTGGACACAAGGACGGAGCAGGTAGAACACAAGGCCTCGTGGTGGCCTGCTGACCCAACGGTGGGGTGGCCTGATGTATCTCTGGGCTCCATTCAGAAGTTGGGGTGCTGCTGGGTCTGTGTTCACCTCTTCCAAGTTGTGGGGCTGCTCCTTCCTTCCCCTCCCCCCCACCTTGGGACTCCAGCGCAACGCCCTTCCTCCCTGCACCCTGCTTCAGAGCCTGCCCTGGGGAGTTGCCCCGGGCTGAGGGCTTGATGGGAAGCTGCGATGGCAGCTGGTGGTGGCCCTGAGAAGCCACCATGAGCCGCTACTGAAGAAGAGGCAGAACCAGGTGGTGTCCAGTGGAGTCTCTGGTGGCCAGTTTCCAGAACCGCCTGACCTGTCCCGTTCTGCTCCTCTGAGCCAACAGAATTTCTGCCTTTTTGTTTTTTAACCGATTCTTCGGATGCGGTGTAACTAGTCAGCACACAAGGTTTGTCAGGCAATCAGCTGGTCTCTTAGACGTGGCAGGCCACACTGTTCCCCGTCTGTGGTCACAGTCCACTCTCAGTCACAGTGTCTGGGGAGTTTCAGGCTGGTCCTGACCCTGTCCGTTGTGCAGCCGCCCCTCCCACTGCCGGGAAGAGGGACCAGGAGGCAGGCCATTGTCTCAGGTCCTCGCTGGGAAACCCGCATCTAGGGGTGACTCTTCAGCAGCAAGAATCACCCCACTAGGTTTTCCCGTCCCCCCTCGGAGAGAGGCCTTCTGCCTTCATTTCTGTTGAAGACATGGTGAGGGTCCCTCTGCAAGACTGAAGGGCCCAGAGAGGTGCCGACGGGCTGGGTGCTTGGAGAGTCCGGCTGTGGTGGCACTGGGCTCCGGGGCCAGCTGACGCTCCTTGCTCTGCTGGTGGGTGACACCTTCCCGTGAGGCTCCAGGTTCTGCCACAGATTTTTTTCCATTTTTTGATTGATGTCTAACAGTTGTGCACATTGATGGGGGTTGTTGTTACACACTCACGCACCCACAAAGCATGATGACAGCATTTGGCCAGTATCACCCCCCTGCACTTCCGCGCCCTCCCGGCCTCCCACCCCTCGGTCCCTTCCCTCTGCTAATCTCCCTTTGATTTTTAGGAGATCCACCGGCACCTCTCTTTCCCCCTTTCCTCTAGCTTCCTCATAGGAGAGAACACACACCACCCTTGACCTTCTAAGTCTGACTTATTTTGTTAATGTGATGGTCTCTGGTCCGTTCATTTTCCTGAACACGGCATCATTTCTTTTTTCTTTATGCTGCCGCAGATTTTAAGGTTACCAGGAGACACCAGAGCAGCAGGCCAAACAAACTGGACCAAGAAGTTCAAGGTTGCAGTTGGAGTCAGACAGAACTTCTCAGTAACTCAATCTGCCCCAAGATGAAACACAAAACTGGTTTTCTCCTGTACGGCGGTTTGGCTGAAGAAGACGTTTACTGCCAGAGTGAGGACTCCATGACCACGGGCCCAGGGTGGGGTCAGGCCGGCAGTGAAGGGCCTCTGCCCCCTGGCATGGCCAGGACCCTGCAGCTGGCCACGCCCCGGCACACCATCTGAGGCTCAGGCGCTGAAGCAGGTCCAGGCCAGGTGGACTCAGCGTCACAGCTTGCCACCTTGTAGAGCAGTGGACACAGTAGTACCTGGGGCTCTGACCCTGACACAGCTCCAGTGCCCACCGAGGCCTGTCCCCCGAAGGCACTCGTGGCAGCAAACCCAGCGCTGGCTTTCTTTCCTCTGACACCTGTAATGTCAGGACAGATCCTGGGTCCCCTCTACAGAATCTTAAAGTCTGCTGCCTCTAGAAATGCCCATTGGCCACTCCTGCCCCTCATCTCGACCCCGTGGTGGCCCTCTTCCGAGCAGTCCTCTTGCCCTGTTCCTCGGGCTCCTGTCACCCTTTCAGTCTCTGCTTACGGGATGGAGGATGAGAAGAGGCCCCAGGGACTCCGTCCAGTCACGAGGAGTCTAAGCAGCGAGGACTCTGTACTCTGTCCCAGGACCTCTGAATCCATAAATTCTTGGAGGCCAGGTGGCATCATGAAATGCAGCCCAAACACTCAGATCAGAGCAAGACCAAATGCAATTCAGGATCTTGGTCCATGATGGGACCCAAGTGGCTAGGGACACAAATCAGAGAGTCTTTCCTGCCCCCTCCCTGCCTCCAGCTCTCCCCGACTGACCATGTCCCCAGTCACTCTACAGACACACTAGGGAGTCCTTGCCATAGTCTCTGAGAGGGTTGGAGGGCCTGGGTCCAGGTGTCCTGGTCGGGCCTGGCCCAAGCTGCAGTTTGAATGTGCACAGTCTCCCGGGAGAGCTCACCTGGCATCTGCTTTTCCAAGGGGCCCAGGTGGGGCTGATGTGCCCACCCACACTCTGGGGTCACTACTGGCCACCACTGGGCCTCCATTCTGCCCTCTCAGAAAACCACGAACCTCCTCTGCGAAACACCTGTGCCATAGTCCTCCTATTATTATTATTAATGTATTTTAATTGACCCATAGAAATCGCACCTATTTATGGGGTACTGTGTATACCATATATAAGGATCAGATCAGGGTGACTGGCCTGTCACCTCAGACACATCATTTCTGTGTGTTGGGAACATTCGAGATCCTCTCTATTAGCTGTTTTGAATTTCAGTTAATAGTCGTCAACTGCAGTGACCGGGCCAGCTGTACAATGTGGGCTGTGTTCCTCCTGTCGGCCGTCCCCGCCACGTGAATGTCCCTCTCTCCATCCCTCCTGTTCCACGTTGTTCTTCTTAACAGCTTTATTGAGGTATGATTGACAACAGTCAGCTGTGTTTAAAGTATACAGTGTAATAAATTTTAATATATGTCAACACTCGTGAAACAATAAATGTGGGGAACCCAAACGTCACCCCCACAGTTTCCTCAATCCCTTTTGTAACCTCTTCTTTCCGCCTCAGCCCATCTACAGGCAAGCCGTCCTTCTGTTATTAGGATTTTGTTTGCGTTTTCTAGAATTTTGTACATATAATCACATAGTACGTACTTTGTTTGGTCTGGCTTTCATCCAGGGCAATGATTTGAGGTCCGTCCCTGCTGCAGCGTGTATCCATAGTTGATTCCTCTGTGTGGTCAGTATTCTGCGGTGCAGACAGTCGTGGATGGTCGTGCGTTGCTCCCGGACAGGAACGTGTTCTGAGAAATATGTCGTCGGCAACTAGGTCAGTGTGCCAACAGCACAGAATGTGCTTCCACAAAGGAAAAGGCTAGAATATCACGAGGCCATACACATCTTACAGGACCAGTGTCCTAAATATCGTCCCTTGTTGACTGAACGTCATGAGGAGTACCTGAAAGATTTTTGTCTACTACAAATAAAGCTACTGTGGACTCTGACGTACAAGTCTTTATAGGGACACACTCTGTTTGTCTTGATAAATACTCGGGAGTGGAACAGCTGGTCCATGAGGTGAGTACATGTTTAACTTATTAAGAAGATGTGTCACTGTTTTCCAAAACTCTAGAGCCAATTTCCGTTCCCATCAGCAGAACATGGGAATGCAGTGGTTCCTCATCCTCACCAACGTGCGATACGGCCCAGGGTTGAGTTCCGATGATTTAAAAGGTGTGCAGTGGTTTCTCGGGGTTTTAATGGTCATGGCTGTTGACGTCTTCTCACGGGGTTATTTGACACGTCTCTACCTAGCGCCACCTCTCGGTATCCACCCATATCTGTCCTCTTTGGTGAGGTGTCCCTTCCGGATCTTTTGCCCATGTTCTCTTAGCCAGGTTGCTCTCTGACCACGCAGGAGAGTTCTGTGGTCTCAATGCGCTTCCGGGCGCTCACTCAGGCGCTTTATGAGTAGTTTTTCCCAGATTGCGGCTTTTTTCAGTCTTTCTCAAATGTTCTTCAAAGACCAGAAGATCTTGGTTTTGAAGAAGTCCAGATTATCCGTCTTAACACTTCTACGCGGCTGGCTTCAGGCGATGTTATCTCAGTGACGTTCCTCTGCTCCAGCGCCTGGCGCCAGGCCCTTCTGCCCTCCTTACTCCAGGGGCAAAGCGAAGGAGCAGGAAGAGGGTGGCCAGCAGGCTGAGGGACACTGGCCCTCAGTTGGTGCTGCCTAAGCAGCCCCCAGGGAGAAGAAGCTGAGGGACCCAGGATTCTGCAGGTAGCGCAGGCTGAAGGCCATCCTCTCCCCGGCCCCAGTCTTGCTGCAGGCAGGAGGCACCTCACCCTGCCAGCCTCTACCAGCCCTGGCCAGCCACCAGGAACGCTCACAGGCCAGTGCCTCTCCCTGCTCCCCACCGGCTCCTCCCCAGTGACATTAGGTCTTCTGGGGAGGACAGGATCTACCCGTGGTCTTGGTGAAGGACACAGGTCTGAGCCTCCGGAGGAGCAGCCTCCAACCTTCACAGGCTCCAAGGCCCGAGGGTGACTGGGAGGGAGCTCTGGGTGCCCTGTGCCCTCCATGGCGAGGCGGGCAGCCTGTGGGGAGAGAGAGGAGACAGAAAACAATCACGCCATCAGCCAGGAATATTACTCTCGGGTGACAAAAACCACAAATGAGAAGCTCTTGGCTCACCCGTGCTCACGGTTAATATCAATTTCTTAGAGTTGCCGTGACTAATTGCCACCAACTTAGGGGCTTAAAGCCACACAGATGTATCAGCTCAAACTGGTCAGAAGTCCAGGCTGCTCAGGGTTTTACAGGGTTGAAACTGAGGTGTGGGCCAGTGGGGCTCTTACTGGACTTGGGACAACCTACCTCACACCCCTCAGGGTGTGGGCAAAACCCAGTTCCTTGAGGCTGTAGGACTGAGGTTCCTATGCCCTTGGAGCTGGCTCCTGGAGACCCCTCTGGCCTCTGCGGCAGCACCTGGACCCCTACATTTCAGCACCTGGAGAGGGAGGGAAGCCGTCTGCCACCAAGTCCCCTGACCTTGCTTCTCCTGAAGCTCTTCTGCTGCCAGTTAGAGGACGTATGGTTACATGCCCACTGGTTAGACGGGTCATTACAGCTCGGAACTGGAATGTCCCTCACAGGCCCACGTGAAGGCTTCGTCCCCAAGGTAGCGTGCTCAGAAGTGGGGCTTTGGGGAAGTGACTGGATCATGAGGGCTCTGCCCTCATTAGTGGGTTAATCCAGTGACAGATTCACAGCTGAATGGACCATTGGGAGGTGGGGCCTAGCTGGAAGGAGTGGGTCCTTGGTGACGTGCCCTGGGGAACTGCATTTTGTCCCTGCTCTCCCCTCCCCCCTCTGTCTCTCTCCCCCTCCCTCCTGGTCGGCTCTGCACGGTCTTCCACCATGATGCTCTGCCTCACCTCAGGCCCCAAGCAACAGTCAGCCGTCTATGAACTGAAACCTCTGAAACTGGGAGCCAAAATAATTTTTCCTCCTTCAAGTTGTTTTTCTCAAGCCAGGTACAGTGGCACACATCTGTAATCCCAGCTCCTCAGGAGGCTGAGGCAGGAGGATCACAAGTTTGAGGCCAACCTGAGTAATTTAGCAAGAACCTGTTTTTTAAAATTAAAAAATTTAAGAGGGCTAGGAATGTGCTGTACAGCACCTCGGGGTTCAATCCCCAGTGCCATCAAAAAAATGTGGTTTTCCTCAGGCATTTTGTCATAGTGTAGAAAAGTTGACTAACACAGGCCCCCAAATAATCCACTTCAAGGTCTATGACCTTCATTTCATCCGCAAAGGCCCTTTCACTCTGCTACCTAACGCATTTACCAGACCCAAGGATTGCGTGGACATCTTTGAGGAAGGGG